CGGGAGACGCGGGCCGGCCCGGGTGTTAACGCCCCGCGGCGGCGACGGGCTCGGAGCCCTGCAGCCTCCAGCCCTGGCCTGGCCTGTGCCAGCACTTGGGCCTCACAAGGCAAGGGGCACCAGCAGGGGCTGCAGACCACCCGCCTTTGGAGTAGGGGACAGGCAGGCCCCAGACCGCCCCGCCCCGCCCGGGCTGGCCCCAAACTAGCTCAGAGCTTTACTGTTTACACAGCACCTTCCCAAGACCGTCTTCTTGTAAACCTAGCTCGGTCAGGGAGGCATGGCCAGAATCTCACGGAGGTCCGGGGTTGAGCTGCCGGGCCCAAATAGCTAACAAACATGACCACCAAGTTTCTCGACTCCCAGTACAGTGCTCTTCCCTCCACCTGCACCGCCCCATTAATGACAACTTGGCTCTAGTAACAGACAACTCTTCTTCAGAGGTTGAGTCTCTCTCTTTCCTTAGGGGGGGCAGGGGAGGGTTTGGGATACTCCAGAATGAGCCTCCACGGCTAGGAATTGGGTGGGAGAGGGACACCATTGGGCAGATGGGGGGTGGGGGTGGGGTACAGGGCACAGTCCCTAGCTCTCATGAGGCACTTTAGGGGAGAAGGATGCAGTCCCAGGGGAGGAGAGGGAATGGAGGGCTGTGGTGACTTCAGGCACATAGGGTGGGAGACCCCTGGATGTGGCAAGACGGAAGGAGCAAGATGGAGGGGTGGTGAGGCGCCCCAGGCTGCCCCTCCTGCTCCTTCCAGGAAGGAAGCTGTGGCTCCTTGTGTCCCCCACAGAGCCAAGCCTGCACCCAGCTGGGACCCACAGCTGCCCGTCTCTGCTCCCACCACCCCTCCCCTCCAGGCACGCAGATTCCAATACAATTTCCAGCTAACCAGCATGTCGATAGAACAAGCCAGGCGGCTGGATTGCTGGCCAATTACAGGAAATCATTCTGCTCCACAGCCCTGTGCTCTCAGCTAGGGCGGCAGAAAGGGAACTCGAGGGAGGGAGCAGCAGGAGGCTGGGGGTTGGCGCGGCAGCACCAAGAGGAGGCTGTGGGCCGGGAGGCTCCCGGGGTCAAGGCCAGCCCTGGCTCTTCCCCAGCCTGGCTCCGAGCTCTGGATCTGGCCTTCTATGATGGGAGATTAGCACCCCAAGCCACGAGGGAGTCAGGCGCTGAGGGTGGAGGAGGGGTCCGGGGGTGGGCATCTGCTCGAAGTTAAGGGGACAGAGCTGGCTGGTGGAGCCGACCTCCCCAGAGCCTGCAGCCGGAGCACTGGGCAAGCTTGGCCTGCACAGGTGAGACCTGGGCCAGCCAGGGGCCAAGGGTGCCCAGAGGCCGGGAATGGGGTGGCAGGAAGCGAGGATGGGGAGTGGGGAGGAGAAGCCACATCCCACAGGTAAGTGGACTAGCAGCCGCCTCCCGTGGAAAGTGGGACACAGGAATGCAGGGGAGGCCAAGGCCTTCTCCACACCCCACTGCCTCAGCTCCCACCTCTGGCCCTCAAGGAACTTCCACTCAGGGAAAGGACCCCAGTTCCCTCCCCTTCCCATGGGTCTGAGCCTCCTCCCACCTTCTGTGCCTGGAAGCCTCTGCCACCCCATCCATCTCTCCCAGAAGGATCTCAAGCCAAGCTGGGGCTGTTCCACCCAGCAGACCCCAAGATGCCCTGGCCCCCCTCTTCTCACTCCCCCCCATGATGAGCTCCCCTTCCAGCCAGCCATTTTCCCCTCAAAGTTCAGGAAGATGCCTGTGGAACAGAAAGTCCCCTGTGGTCCAGCCTCACCCCTCCCCCACCGTTGCTGCTGTTTGCCTTGAACCCACAGAGGAGGCAGCTGTGGCCAATGATCTTGTCCTCCTCTCCAGGCCGTCGCAGTATCCCCAGGTCCCCAGGCCGTCCCCCAAGCTCTCCCTGCTCCTCCCAATCCAAGCCCTCCCCAGACCCCTCCCGTCCTGGGCCAGCCTTGGGCTCGCCCTCGGCTCTCTGCCCACCCCAAGGGCAGAGGGGTGGGCAGAGCCGGGAGAGGGGGCAGCCTCGGCGG